CTCATGAATATTCTAACTTAGCTTTAAGGCTCTAATCAAAGTTGGCAAAATATTATTGAACATACAACGTTATTCATCATTAGAATATCTATTACTAGGACATGCACCCCAATATAGCTAGTTAGCTACAAACCAAAATCAATAATGCTTTGTGCATAAAGATGATTATTGTCAACAAACACATTAAAGATCAGATTTTGTTAATCACAATTTATAACTTAGATCATTCTGTTCAACTGTAGCTGACCTTAGTTGATGACTGCTAATACCATTGCCTTTCAAATTTCTTTTGCTCGGACGTAGACATATTCCAAAATAACTAATATTTTACTTTAATACTATTTAGTATTACGTAATCATAATTTTAATTATTTACGTAATATATGTATTAATCTGATTCAATAGCACACCTTCTTCTTATTTATAGAAACATAGGTATACGATGTATTAAAACTAGAGCTGTCATTTTCTGACCCGAACAGTTAAACCCAACTGTTTCAAACCGATCTGAAAAAGAACTGAACAGTTAAAAACCCGTTTTTTGGAAACCGAAAAACCGACCCAACCCAATTTTTTCCAACCCGAAACTGAACTGAACCGACCCGAATTTGTGCGAACCGTTACTAACCCAACCCGTTATCAAGCCAAATCGTTACAACCAGAAACTGAAAACAACCCGAACCGATTACGTCTAAACCCGATAGTAACCCGACCCATTTTAAACCGAAAACCGTTTAAACTCGACAAAAATCCGATAAACCTAAATCGTTCCAACCCGTAACCCGTTGTGACCAAACCATTTATAATCCGTAACCCGTTGTGACCGAACCGTTTTCAACCCGTAACCCGTTGAGACCGAACCGTTTACGACCCGTAACCCGTTGAGACCAAACCGTTTACGATCCGTAACCTGTTATGACTGAGTCATTTACAACCCGTAACCCAATATGTTTATGATCTGATCCGTTTCAACCCACTACTCGATAAACCCAACTTATTTATGACTTGACTTGATTATAACATGACCCGTTCCTACCCGTTATCTGACTAACTCGACTCGATAATCATCTGACTCGATTTTAACCCGATATGATTTGAACATTTGAACTGAAACCCGCTTCAAATTGGGTAAACTCGTTTTCAAACCAACCAAGTTCAATCCAAACCGATTATAACCTGAAACGATAATGATTGGACCCGAGACCTGACCTGATTAAGAACCGAACTGTTTTTAACCGAAACCCACTTTAATCGGGCTAAACCCGTTTTTATACTGACCCAGTTCAACCCAAACTGATTATGACCTGAACTGTCTAGAACCCGACCCGATAAGGACCTGATCTGAATAGAAACTGCAATTAAAAAAACCAAACCGAACTGACCCGATAATTTTCAAAACCAACCCAAACTGACCCGCTAATTATTTCAACCCGTTATAACCCGAAACTGATAAACCCAACCCAATTCCAAACTGTTTACCCAAATTGACACCCCTGATTAAAACAAATCCTCCGTACTCAACATTTATTGAAACATAGTTCTAAGTAAATTTACTGAATTACCAAGTACTTCGTATATTTTATTAACCATTTTTTTTAATCTATAAACTTTTATTACAAAACAAGGGTTTTTAAATATTTAATTGAAAATCATGAATTTTGACTTTCAAGTCTCAAGTCAATACTTTGAACAAGAGAAGGTGATCGAATAATAAGCTCCAAACTCCAAAGCCTCCAATAATGGGGACGACGAAGAGTCATGGATGGATAAACCCTGAAAAATTGATCTTCGAATTCGTAAGGGGGAAATGGAGCAAATTTTTTGTTATCTCATCTCAATTTGAAGCAATTCGGTGAGTTCGGATTTTGGCGCCATAATAATATTAAATCGTCTCTACCACACTTAAATTTGGCAATCAAAACCCTAGAATTCAGCCAAAAATTGAATCAATCCCCAAATAATCAGCTTGGTTTTGATATTAAATCCTTGGGTCTGAATTTAATTGAAGATTTCCAGAGTTGATATTGGACTAATGATTTATAAAATTTTTGTGCAGAATTTTTCAAAAACTGGGTTGACGAAGATGGTGCACCATTAATGGATTTTGATTATTTGGAGGTCAATTTGTCTAAAATAACTATCTCTGATTGAGGTGGTTGCTGTTGTTGCAGAGTTGCAGCAGAAGATCATAGACATTTCCTGGTAATGAATACTTATGTATAGTTAATTCAGTTCTCGTTTCGAATTTCGATAATAATTGTTTGTGATTTTGATGATGTTGCTTATGAGATTAATCTGCTGAATTAGCTTTTGCTTAATTATGATTGTTTGACAATGGGATTTTGGTTGTAACTTGTCCAATGTCAAAGGAATTAACAAGATCATTTTCTAATTAAATAATTCTTGATGTTTGAATAGGATGCAATTTTATATTAGTTTGTTTATGGTAGACTTCTATAGTTCTATGTTATGCTTAATTAACTATGTGATTTTGTCTTAAAGCATGCGGGCTTGGGTGAAGTTCAAGAGTAAAATTTTTGTTATGGCCAGTACCATATAATTAAAGCATGTGATACGACTCGTGTGATGTACTGGACTTAATTAAGGCAATTGTCTTAGGTTCTTGCTCGGAAGCTGTTTCTTGATCCAATTTTTTGAAAAAGACTGGCTGTAAAAGGTTTTCAAATGCCACTACATCATTAGTTGCTTTTGTTGCTTCGCCTATATCTAATATTTGAGACATAATAAGCAACGGATGTTCTGGTATTTAGGAGTATCGTCACTTAGTATGAGGTTGAAAATTCGTTTCTTATCTGGCCTTTATACCACCTATATTGCTATTTACATGACTACATGAGACATAAAAGTCAAGCCATGCTTCTTACTTCATAGTTTCTTTTAGGAGGCGAGGTTGCTAAATTTGGTGTCTTAGATGGTGTCTCATGGCATTGTGCCCATTAGTCTATATCTTCAATTTTGTGTGCGAAACACTTATTCTTCCTGTTGCCTTTTGGTAAGGAATGTCTGAAAGTTAGCTGTGATATGTAAATCAACTGGCACATATCATGGCTCACATTCTCACAACACTGTGATGTAATAGGGTTCAAAGAGGTGCAATCAATGAAAATGATAAGTACTTATGGTACTTGGTATAGAAGTTAGACTACAACCCACTTGCAATCTATAGATGTACGAAGTATAAGATATATGGAATCAAACAAGATTCTTTAACCACTACTTTCATATTTGTATGCATGTTTGGGGTATGTCCCTCTAAAAGGCTGAAATAATTCATTTTTCAAATAGGCATATCTTTATAGCTAAGTATATAAATATTTGTTATTCTTGGAGGTAGTTGGGATAGGAATTTAGATGGGCTATAAGCATAAGTAGATAAGAAGAAGCATGCTTATCTGGAGCCTATCAATTGAGCTGATAAGAACAAAGGAACAAGATTACATGGAGCCTATCAATTGAGCCACGATTCTTATGCAAGTCAATGGCAACTTGATCCACTCTCCCAAATCCAGGTGTATGCTTTTGATTCTAATTATAACATCATAATTCAAGAGAACCTTACCATGTGCATGCTAACTTAAAACTATTAGCTCATTGAAAACTTCAATTAAATATGTAATTGGAGTAGCTAAAATGCAATGACATGTCATGATGCCAAACACTGCCCTACTTTTGTTTTTTTTGTCTTTCTATATGTGATAAGTACTTTTGCTGATCGTGTACTTCTGTACTTGAATATTATTGGCCAGAATATACCGATGTCGGCCAGAAAATTATTCTTTTAATAAAAAAGGGATTCATTTCTGTTCATTTGACTAATTTGGTTTTCAGCATATAATAATATTCACCTCTCTTTGAGTTGCTGATCTGTTTGTTCATCCCTTAGACTTTGTCCTTTTTCTATTCTTTCAGCTTCTAATGATCACCACATATTATTTGGTGATCATTTTTTTCTTCCTTTATATTACTACTAGCTATTGATTGCTTATATTGTCGTTTTGTGGCTGAGATCATTGTGAAAGTGACTGGCAATATTTTGTTTAATATATTAGAAGATACTAAAAGTGTTACCAACTTACCACTGGGGTTGTCTCTTCATGTGAAGTTAAAGATCGTCTTAGTAAATATTCATAATCTTATACAATTTGTGTAAGTTCGTTTACTTATATGATTACTCAATAGCCAGCTCAACTGGCTATTATTATTATACTCTATTTTTTTAATTTTTATCATTTTTTTTTTTTTTTTGTTGAATGTGTGTGTGTGTGTGTGGGAGGTAAGGGGACACAAGGGGTGATAAACCTCATAAAACCATAGTTCTGGGGTTGAAGCAGGTGGGCTTGGGACATTCTTGTTAATTTTAGGAGGTGAGTTTAAGGACAATTTTGTGAAACAATGAAAAAATAAAGAGGGGGTTATGACGATGATATATCTGAGATGAGTTAATACTTCCTCGACAATTATATAGACTCATAGACACATAGGGTGTTTTTGAATCCAAGTTTATGATACAATTCCTTTACAGTGTTCCAGATTAGCAACTTGATAATGGATTTAGGAAGTCCTCTGTTGCTAAAGCCCATTAACACTCCTAATATTTTACTGCTCTTAAGTCACAGCTATTTTGCATGCTAGAAGTTACATGTTTTGTTTTAGCTATTACTGGATCCTAGGTCATAGCTCTTTTAATGAACTACAAGTTATTTACCTTCCTATGTACTTTTCCTCCATATAATTGAGGTTTTTGTCACAATTATTTTCTGAATATGATATAATGACATTATTGGATTTTTCTTCGACCATAAACTCTCCAATTTTCCATGGCCTATGAGGCTATGACAAGTTATACTGTATAACCGATCTAAGAATTTAGGAAAAGGACTTATCATTTTTCTGGAGTGAATTATTCAAAGTCAACTGGTAGTAGATGAATATTTAAAGTGCAAATTATATGAGGAATATGAAGGCTAGTCTAAATCCTTAGAATCTCTTATTGGTTTCTTCAATATTAAGCTATTGCTAAAAAATAAATTCCTTCTACCTTTCTTCATCTGACACGTCAAGTTTGAGTCACAGCGTTCCCTTCTTGTTTTCTTCTGTGACACCTGCTAAATTACAATACAATACAAAGATATCTTCCAATATTTTGCTGTCAAGAATATGATTTTATCATTTGCTTTCACTTTTTCGTGAATCTTATTTTTAGTAATAGTTTTACAGATTCAAATTTGTGCCATCCTTGTAAGATTCCTTGCTCTCCATTCAAGAATATGCCAAATGAATTTCAGTCACAGACGTCTTAGGAATAATTATTTATTTTTTTTATTAGTAATTATTTCTTTTTAAATGAAAACAAATGCATGTTTTATCAGGTCAACTTTTGCGTTTGGTTCCTTAATTGTAACATGTTACATGTAGAGTAACTGATTAAATCTTTAGCTATCTTGTATATGGTTATATGGTAAGATAAAGGTGACTTCTATGGAGAAACGGGTGATATTTTATGCCTTGAGTCATGAGATCGACTCATACTAGAATCTTTTATGTAATATATAAATTACACATAATTTCTTTTCATTTTACCTATAGTAAAGGTTCCCTGGGTGACCATTTCTCTGTTAATAAAATAACTTCAAAGTTTAACCAAAGCCTGACTTTGTGACTTCTCTCACATTGCTATCATTTGATAATGTACACCTCAGATGTCCTTTAAGACGGATCTATAGGTAGTCTCAATTACTAAATTACAATTAAATAATTAGTATAATTGAATCAAGTTGTAGTTTTCAACTCCTTACTATCTCTTTGGCCGTACGCGTATTCGTCCTTCTGTAATTATATATACTAGGCCTTAGAGGTTCCTTAATTTGTGAAAACTGAAAAGTATTCCTTCCAAGTGATTGAATATTCTAGTCAGTTGACACTAAAGATACCAGTACCTAAGAAATGGGAAACTGCACGTCTTGTGTAACTTCAGATATTCAAATACACGAGTATGGATGTCTTGAAAATGCATTGCATATTCAATCTGCAATTGGCAATGGAAAGCATAAGGTTGGTTCTGTGCACTCTCAGCAAGGAGCCAAAGGTCTAAACCAAGATTCTGCTGTTCTTTACCAGGTTTGATCTTGATACTAATTATATTGATGTTATTTGGTGTAGAAAATTATCCCTCTAATTGCTAAAATATCTGATAATATCATGTCATGTTGTTCTACACTAAAGTTTTATAAAGTTCATCATGGCCTTTCTTGGGTTATTTGTGCTTACTTTTGGTGTTTATTTGTTTTATTAAGGGATATGGAATGGAGGATGGGGCATTCGGTGCTGTTTTTGATGGGCATGGAAGCAACGGGCACATAGTTAGCAGAGTAGTAAGGAACCAGCTGCCATCATTACTACTGAACCAAAGGAAATTTATGGATTGGAATGAGGCTGTTGTTAGTTCCTTTAAAACTATGGACAAGGAGGTAAATCTGATTGAGACCGTGGATTGTTCTTTTAGTGGAAGTACTGCTGTGATTGCTGTCAAACAGGTAAGAAATCAACTCAACTGTCATGATTTTGAAACATGTTATCTTAAGAAGGGAAAATGAATTATTTTTGTGTTAATTCGAACCATATGTTGTGAACAGGGTGAAGATCTTATTATCGCTAATCTTGGTGATTCTCGGGCTGTCCTTGGAACATTAACTGAAAATGGAGTCCAAGCTATTCAATTGACAAGAGACCATAAGCCTGATGTACCTAGTGAAGTTGACCGGATTAAAAAAGCTAATGGTAGGGTGTTTGCACATGAGAGCCAACCCCATATCCAGCGTGTGTGGTTGCCTAATGAGGATGTCCCAGGTCTTGCCATGACCCGTGCTTTTGGAAACTTTGAGATGAAGAGTAATGGGATCATTGTTACACCTGAGATCACTCATCGCCGCTTAACCTCTGAAGACCAATTTCTTGTGCTGGCTTGTGATGGGGTAAGCTTGCTAAATGTTGCTTCTGATGAACCAGAATGTCATTCGTTTTATTCCTTGGTCTTTTGTGTGATAGATCACCGCTGATTCTTAATGCTTTAAATGTTCTTACCGTCATAGGTCAATATTTTCAATTTCTACCATTAGTATCATTATATATCTTGCAGAAAACCTGTTCATCCTTCTAGTAATTGGAGACTGGTGAAAATGATGGACCCGTAGCTGGGATTGTCTTCATTGTTTGCGTTTCTGCTTCAGACATGTTTTCTTTGACCGAGTTTATGTGGATATAGTTTCTTATATTGGTGTTTCTCTGAAATTCAGGTTTGGGATGCTCTTAGCAACGAGGAAGTTGTGTCAGTTGTGAGATCAGTAACGAATAAGGAGGCAGCTGCAAAAGCAGTTGTAGACGAAGCTCTTGCTGCATGGAAGCGCAAATTTCCTTCAGCAAAAGTCGATGACTGCACTGCTGTCTGCTTGTTCTTGCAGGAGAGAGAAGACTGTTTGTTGCTTCCAACAACTTGAGCTTTATAATCTGTTCCCATATCGATGATTAGCACTCGTGTGGTCGTACCCCATATCCGATTTTCTGAAGCTGCAAAGGCTGATTGCTGCTATAATGTTCGCTCTGAAAATGGAATGATTGAGGGGTGAATTCTGTCCAATGTATATAAATGTCATCACTTTCTTTGTGATGCACCTGTATTGCGTATATAATATATGGTAATTATGTTTAAGAAATGTTTTAGTATTGAAGCATAGTATTCCCAAACATATGTGAGTGTACTGTCCACATTAATTAAAGAAGAGAGAGAGTTATACTTTACTCCGTATAAGGTGAAAGAGCTATTCATATTAGGAGTTATTCATATTGTCATATGATTTTAGGATGGAACCTCCTTGGACTAGTGAAGTGAGCTTTCTCTCTCTTGGTGACGGTTGCGGACCATACTCGTATTAAACATGATATTACAATTAAGCCCACAGTTAGACCTTTATTGGCTTTGATGTACTCTGTGTCATATTGAATTGAATCTATGTGAGGGTATGAATCTTTAGTAAACTTTGTGATATTATAGGTTCTTGATGTTTGTATATTTTTTTTCTCTATTGGAAATCTGTTCTATGAACCTTGAAAGAAGAAGGATGAACAAAATCTGCAACCAAAAGTCCAAGGGTTTGGTCATGTAAATGTAGACGTAGTACTTGTGTCTAAATATAATTGTCAGTTGACAGTTAAAACTTTGTGACACATGATTCTGAATAGCAGGGATCATAATACAAGAAACACCTTATGTGACTAAATAGATTTGGAAGAAAAGAACCCTCAAAGCATGGAGTTTTGCCAAGATGATCTATCAAAGGCTTTTTACCTTGTTTTAGGTTTGAGGCTAATACTAGCTACTTAACTAGCATACTTACCAAGAATGAAAAATATCTTCAACTGCTTTGTATCAAAACCTAAAATAAGAACCATTACTTTATGTCTTTCTTCATTTCACGGTTATAGACAATATTTGATTAAAGAAGTATCATTTTTTGTACTGATTTGGCTGACATCAAAATACATATACAGATTGTTGTATAGTGTCAAATAATACATGTATTTCTCATCTGGTCATGTCAATTAGCTAGGTTATATATATACTTGCATTAAGAAACTTTGTAGAATGCCAACTTGAAAGTTGAAAGGACATATGACATATATAGTTACACGATCATAAACATAAACATAAGCTTAGGCCGTTGGCCATGTAGTCATATACTAGTGTATAAGCCACCCTCAAGTCCCTCATTTGTTCATTCAAACTATCTAAATCACTAAATGATACTCTATTTCAAAAATTAATAATTTTAATAAATAGCGTGTGCGCGAACTAGTAATACGACAAATATATTCATACAAAGAATATAATAATAAGTTAATTTTAAAATAATTCAATAAACGAATCCAATAAACGTACGGTGACCCTATGTGCTCTTACAAAAGAATCTAAAGGTTTTTTAAAATAATTCTCCCAGCATAAGGAACTTAGTTTTTGGCTAACTTTCAAATTTACTTAGCATTCACGTATAAGAGATACCTCAGTCAAACTATATTAAAATAAAAATTAAAAGATTTTGCAGTATCTTTATACTGCGGAGTATTATATTTTCAAACATTGAAATACAATTTCTTTATTGAAAACTAAATTCGGGGCTCATTCAAGAAATTCGCAAGGTTATATGTTCTTTTTCGATTACAATCGTCTTTGATAATTTATATCTCTTTGTATGATACAAAACTACGGAGTAACAAAAGTAAATTAAAGCAAGGTCAGTTTTATATTGCATGTATGAATGGAGTTAAAAAAGATGCAATTATGAAATACAATTGTAACTTGTAAGTGCTCCGGAGTATTATCATTAAGTATCATATATAAACTTAAAAGCCCGTCAAAAAAAAAAAAAAAAAAAAAAAAACCTTTAAAGACATTCAAATTAAATTTTAAAAAAAATTTAAAGAAAAACAAACATATTATCAATAAAATGAAATACGGTATAATTTGGATGTTTCAGTCCGGGTTAGATTTAGGTCTATAAGATAAATAACATTATGGATTTATTTGAGAATGGTCAATAAATATTTATAGATTACCATGATTATATATAGAAAATATTAATCAAGTTTATTTTCTCGGTTCATGGACCTAACAATATAAAATTACATTTGAATGTGTTGAAAATAGGCTTTCCATATTCCAAGCAATACACCACTTTATAAGGATAAAGAGTTACTCTAATGGATTGAAATATACATCAAAACCTAAGGATTGGTAAATCTCGAAGACGACATGGAAAGAACAGTCGCATTATTTTGCTTTATAAGAATAATAAGACTATAAAATTTTTTAAGTTTTATTTTTTATTTATTTATTTATTTTTTTTTTTGTCAAATTGTACACTTGAATCTAACAAGTATATGATGTAATCTCGCACGCGAAGTCAAGGTGCAATATACCGATACGTAGTATTGTTATTTAACCTTTTGAGAGTTGAATTGTCAACTCAAAGTTTTGAAATAGTGAATAGCCTCATGATAAGCTACACCCAACTAACATTTGATTAATACCGAGCAAGACCGGTGAAAATGGTGAATAACTCAATTTATAACTTTGAGATTTTAAGTTCAAAGCCTCATCATCGACTTATGTTTGTTTGGAATGAACAATGACCAATCAATTGGTATACATGATAGATTTACACAATAAATTGAAAACAATATTATAATCACTATAGCTAGATATGATCACAGGGGAATTATATTTATACTCGATAAATAAAGATTATTGGATTAAATCTCTATGAATAAGCGAATTTTCATAATTTCATTAAAGTAGTAGGTTCATTCTTTTTTCTTATGTTTATTTAAATTAATTAGAGATACAAATGTGAATCCAATAGATGCACAATTCAATGACTTACATATGTATACCCTCTCAGAAGATTCTAAAGGTGATCTAAAATAATACTTCTAGCTAATTAACAATAATTTATTTGAACTTATTGCACTAAGTTATTATGGTTTTAATATTTTACAAGTAATTGGACCGTAATTCAGCAACAATATTTTAGACTTTGGAGGATCTTATTATATGACGAAAAATCAAAGTTAAACTATACCAGTTTAACAAGTATAATAGATACCTCATCATTCAAAGAAAAAAATACAAAAAAGAGATACCTCATTCAAAGTAAAAAGAAATAGATTCTAGAATCTAATTAAGAAATGGGAAATTGCATATCTTGTATATCTTCAGATATTCAAGTGTATGGGGATGACTTCCATGAAAATTGCTTGCACATTGTTGAAAGAGGCCATAAGGTTGGTTCTGTGCACTCTCGGCGAGGAGCCAGAGGTCTAAATCAAGATGCTGCTATTCTCCATGAGGTTTGAATTAAATTGCGCTTTCTATTAGATACACATCTTTGATCATTAAAATCTCGTGCATATATAAGTGCTAGAGCTTGTTTCTTTGCGTGCTTGTTTAAGTTTAATTAATACATTGGTTTGATTTGTAATGCATTGAAATTATGATAAATATTACATTTTGATCGAAGAAAATGTAAGAACATGATATAACAATAACTAAATCAATAAGATAAGGTGATGAACAAACATTGTACAAAGTATTACCTTATAATATATATGAACTGTGTTAGTTAAGGGCTGTGTTTTTTTGCCTACTTTGGTATACTATTGTCTATGAAAGGGGTACGGAAATACAGAAGATGGGGTATTATGTGCTCTATTCGACGGGCATGGAATATATGGACATAAAGTGAGCATGTTTGTAAGAAACCAGCTACCTGCATTACTATTAAACCAAAGATCATCTTTGGGATGGGATGAGGCTTGTGTTGTTAGTTCTTTCGAAGCAATGGATGAGCAGCTCAAGCAGTTCGAGCATGTGGACTCTACTCACAGCGGTTCTACTGCTGTGGTTGTCATCAAACAGGTATGAATAGTAATGATGTAGGATCCGCTTTAGTTACTGAACCATCCGAATGATGGAATTTTGACTAACAAGGCCGATATTGTGAGCAGGGTGCAGATCTTGTTATCGCTAATCTTGGAGATTCCCGAGCTGTATTGGGAACAATAACTGAATTTGGTGTCCAAGCTACCCAGTTAACGGTGGATCTGAAGCCTGATATAATTGGTGAAGAATCCTGTCTATACGTATATCTGTCAATATTTTTGAGTTCTTGTAAACCAGCTAGTATCAAGTCTTTCATGCTCTATGATCAAACACAAATTTTCTCCCTTTTACTTTCTCAGTATTTCTTTTTGTCATGCAGCTGAAGCTAATCGGATTAGAGATTCTAAAGGCCGGGTGTTTTCTCTAGAGAACGAAGCACACATCACACGAATATGGCAACCCGAAGAGGACATCCCAGGCCTTGCCATGTCTCGAGCTTTTGGAGACTTCAATATGAAGTCCTACGGGTTAATTGCCATTCCTGAGGTTTTTCATCACCGATTAAATTCAGAGGATCACTTCCTTGTGCTGGCTAGCGATGGGGTAAGTTGCAGTTTATCTTAGAGGATTTACTTCTTCAGTTTTAAGTTTTAACTTCCAAGTTTCTAGCTTTCAAAAAAAAACTTCTAAGTTTCTAACTGTTAAAAAAAAAAAAACTTCCAAGTTTCTAATTGCTGATTTTTGCTTATAATGTTCAATTCAGGAATTCAGGGGTTATTATTTCTCAGTTTTCTGTCATTAATTTCTCAGTTTCTAATAGTCTCGTGTTTAACCTGCAATAAACAGGTGTGGGATGTGCTAAGCAACGAGGAAGTTGTCTCAGCTGTGTGGTCAGCAGAAAACAGAGAGGCAGCCGCAGCAGCAGTTACGTATAGAGCTCATGCAGCATGGTCACAAACCTTTCCATCGGCAAGGCCTGATGACTGCACGGCCATCTGCCTGTTCTTGTAGCCGTGGCAGGAAAAAGAACATGTACTTGCTTATGTATGGATTATGAAAAAAACCAGATGTATCCGTTTATTGTACTTTTAGGTTTTGCACGATTGTTTGTACTCCGTAACACGCAGTACATATTTTTCATTTTACGATAAGAAAACCATCTGTGGATTCTATACATAAAAGTTTGATATGGCAAATGAGCTAGTCGTGTAAAGTTTGTCCATTTTAGGTAGCAAGTCAGTTGACTCGGTTCAGGAAGGGTATATTCTATTAGCTATCAGGTCAAATATGTTCTACAATGTGATAATCCCAGGAGATATTTACCAAGGTTACTGTAAATACTGATAAATTTGTTGATCTGAAAGTCTGTTTTCAATCGGCACATGATACTTATAATTAAAAGGGTATAAATATATAGTTATTAATTAGAATGGGAAAAATACCCTGAATTAAGAATAATGTAGACAATAATTGGCATCAAAACAAGTCATTGACCATTAAAGAGGGAAAAATATTTATAAAACAATTTGTTACCAAAACTTGATCTCCTATCCTCTCTTTGAATTGAAGTTTGAAGAAAGAAGACCACAAAAAGATCTCAACTCTCCATTGCTAGCCAAAAACATGTCCACATTGTTTCAAGATGATTGGTCATTTGCTGGCTCCTCTACAGGCAGATCATCATATGACACAGGAACCCTAATCCTTTCATGTACAGGCACACGTTTCTCTCCAGCACTGAGCTGCGGTAACTGATCTTGCACTGGGGTTTCTATCTCACAGTCATTGTCTGAAGTGCTAGCCACTGGCTTACTGGTCATTGCATCTGAAGCACTAGGTGGTTGGACACTCGGTCGCCTAAATTGTTTCTGCAAAATATTAAGCACAAGATGTATGAGACAAGAAACATATACAAATAAAGGGACTTAAAAATAACAAGGACAGGAGAGTCATATCAGAATTATACAGCTTAAAGAGTTTGGATGAACCCTGAACTTTCTTACACAAGTGGATTCAGAATCTGAATAGATTGTAATGTTGTAACACAAATGGTTATTTTTCTGTTTTTTCTTGCGTAGATAGTAGAGTTTCAACAAACGACGAGACTCACAACTCCTTTTTATGCCTATTCTTATTCCCCAAAACTTCCTATTGTACAATATCACTAACCTGGATACAGCAATTTTTATATCTAGAAAATCAGTACTGTTAAAAGTATGACATGAGATCAAAAGAACATGAGACTGAAAAAGAGACATGGTAATTGGGTCCAAATTAAGGTGTAAGTGCCCAAGCCCAACAACTCCCCAACCTATGTGATAATTGAACCACCAACTTCATGGTTGTTTGGAGCTTGACAGCTCCTATTACTAACCTCCTACATGATTATTCTCCATGTCCAGAGCTACTAAAAGGAGTAGAATACATTCTTGAGACCTTGACCTACCTAAAAGAACATAATTGTTTCAAGAAACCCAGGTATTGCACATCTAAAGGAGGCTATGAATTAGGTGTAAACTTCAAAAGAAAGTCTTAAGTCCAATAAACTATGGTGCAGAAAGTTGGTAAGCTTAGCATAAAAGAAAAGATAAAAATATATAATAATAACAGAAGAATTAAAGATAGCATGTAGCTGAAACTATAAATAAGAGTTACAAAATAGCTAGCATATCTAACAGCCTAAAAAATATTCATGTAAAGTACCCTATGAACCAAAGTAGCTAACAAAATCAATCAAATAATTTTAAACAAAAACAAAAGCCAAATCCATAAGAACCATTTCCATTGGCATTGACAATCAGAAGGTACCAGAAACACAGTGACTTACTAGATGAGACAATGACAAGCAAGATAGGATATTGTACCACTGTTTCTCCAAATTTACCAGATGATTATATAGTTTGGCTTGCTTATGAGATATTTTTCCGATTTTGATATTTATACAGTGCAGGAGAGTTATAATGCTTAGCTCTTTGTAAGACAAATGTTAAATTTCCTTTATTCAACAAGAATCCATCTACACTTCGATGACTTCACTCTCCAAGGGGGTCAACTCAGCATGTATCAACATAGAAAAGGGGCAGATTTACTTCAAGCATTCAGGACAAAGAAACTTCAAGATTTTAACTGTGATTTGCAAATAATGACATACACAGGCACAGGCCCACTAACCAAAGATTCTCTTATTTTAATCTCCAAAATCCAAATGCCCCTATGATATGCATGAAAACATATCACACTTCTTAACCTGGCAGTCCAATTCAAGACACGCTAAATTTGCTGCAGGAATGAAAACTTCAAATGGCAGAACAGGAAAGTATTAATAAAGGACAACCAAAAACATACCTCAAAGTCCCTTCCTTTCTTCATTATCTCCTTATAGGCATTGGGGTCTCGTGCCTTAAGTATATTCCATAATACCCCTCCACCAGACCTATATCGATCGCCAAGAACAGTCTTCTGACCTCCACAAACTTGGACAGCTTCTACCTGCAATTCACACATGCTATTGAGAATATGAACAATAATATATTTTAGAGAGGGAAAAGGAACATAGAATGGCCAAGCTACAGACAGGAAAAAAAAAAATTGATGCAGAAAATTAAGCAGTTTTTAAAGGGGAAGAAAAGAGCATCATAGTAAGATTAATCTCTATAATATGAATAATGAAGTTTTTTAAAAAGAAAAAAGAATAATAAATATAGTAAACTAAACAAGACAAACATGATGCACAATAATTAAAACACTTAATATAAAATAGGGATCGGGGAAAGAAAAGATTATATATATAGATGGGAAGCAAACAAAATGTTAAGATGAAAATGGTGAAGTATATTACGAATCAACTATACAACATAGATTGCAAACAACTAGCCATCAGGCTAATGCATGACATAGACAATTATTAACTAATCTGCATCACATAGAAGCTCTTCAAGATATTTTTTTGCCAAAGAGAGAAGGCAGATCAAGAATTGAAAATTGAAAATGAGAGAGTTCGCATTCCAAGGGAGGTGGTTCTAATAATCCTGTTCCAACTCAAAAAATTGCACATTCCTTAGAGTCCCCAAGTTGAGTATATATTAGGTGAATGAGTGAGTCAACACATCTAGTATCAAATCTACAGAAAATAGATTAAACCTCAACAAGTTTTCATTTAAGTTTTTGTATGTAAGAAGCATAATTGCAAGTTCTGTGAAAGGCTCATCAGCTTGTAATATAGACAATAGACCTACATTAGTAGCAAAGCGCAAAGTCAATCACCCAGAGGATATCTCAGCACAGATATCTGAACAACTGAAAGAAGTAATAAGCTTCCACTTAAGGTATCTGCAAAGGTCGGAAAACAACATAAAGCATCAGAAACTTAGAAAAAACTTTTGAACCCATACGTCTCAGGGTTGTCTGGAAAAATCCTTATTTGTCTCACCTTTTAAATTGAAGTAAGAATTAGGTCTGCCAGGCCATGTTCAAATTAAGGTAAATTCTCAACCTATAATATAACAAAAAGAGGTAGACTGATCAAGAAGCAAGTCAAGCAACTCATTGAATTTCTGAGAAAGTAAAATAAAGGGCAGTCTCCTGAATCCTGAGTTACTGAGTGAGTGACGCAGATATAACGGGTTATTAGAGCCGCTCTGGTAGTGTAAGAGGCAAACTCACTCAGATTGTCTGTTCATACACCTTAAGTAACAGCTATGAAGGGAGGTGTAAATAATAACAAATGAGATGAACAAAAAGTGGCACTAAAGACTTAAAGAGAAGCAAATCTGTCAGCAAAAGCATCAGAGATAGTCACACATCCAATGACAATAGCCATAATTAACTGTGGTTGTTAACACATGGTCAACAGCAGTCAATAAGTGCTGTTCAGATAGACCCCAAATGAAAAAGTGATCAGAAACAACAATCATATAGCATCAAAATCCATGATACATCAACAGGCAAGTGTATGCAATCAATGCAGAGAGCAGTCAAATGTGGATACAGACCATACAGCTTTTCATTGTAAATTCAGTTATAAGGAGTACATATAAGGTAGAAAGATGACCCCATCAGCACTAACAACAAAGATATGTGAAACTTATATAAGATTTAAGGTCAGGATTACCTCTTTAACAAGATCCCTAACAGCAGGTATTCCCAGAACACCAATGGCAGTATACACCAGATATGACTTTCGCTCTCTTAACCTCTTACAGACATCCACAACAAACCTGTAGACAATACATGAAAATTATCATTTAAAATTTTGTCAGATAAAAGCATCTTCTCTCAAAGATAATTATGCAATCATGCAAAAAACAGATATGAATTGGAAGTGACTTGCATATGTGAATACAAAATCTTAATTTGCTGAAGAAGCAGCATGAATAACATCCATTGACACAGTTTGGGTTGCTACATTAAGATATAATCACAATGATGGCGTCATAACAAAGGCCCATAATGTTTTCATAGAACTTAGGGGAGCCAAAAAAGTATAAAAATGGAAATGAAACCCAAATTGAAGCTTGGTGATGCATCAAAAACTAGTTTGGGTTCATACCATTGCATTTCTCATATAAACCTAATTCACAAATGACAAGCGAAATACCAAATTGACAATGAAGCTAACAATATACTTCATACAATTTGAGGGCATGAAAAAGGGATCCTAATCAAAGCAAGAAACATTAGCCTAATAAAATGATTGAAATAAGTTAAAGGGCAAGGAAGCTATACACTAGTTAAAATATGGGTCAGGGGAAAAAAATGAAACCTGTCAATGTTAACGACATCTGATTGGGGTACGAAATTCTTTTTCTTATTCTTCTTTTTCTTCTTCCTCCTCTTGCCTGTATTCTTTGCCGGTTGAAGATTTTCACTCTGTGAAATAGTCTTTACTTCATTATCATTTTTGTCACTAGTTTCCCCTGAAACATGCCCATCCACAACTTCTCCTTCTTCAATATCCATCATCTCCACATCTTCGCCATCTCCAAAGCTCAGCTCTTCATCAATAGTATCTAATATACTCTCCATTTATCCTACACGAGAATAACAATCCACATCAAACATCAGGCAACAACACGACATCATTCAATCCAAACCTCAAAATCTTCTCGAATCATCATTAACAACAAAAACGATTAGCACAATAGTTACACATTCACAATTTCCAACCCATAATCCCACCCCAAAACCCCACCAAACCATGACCACTGTAGGCTTATCATTCCCTTCATAATAGCGAAATTATTACCTGATTAAAGTTATCACCTTAATCAACAATGTAAAGTTCACTCAAACCGTGCATAAAATATAATGGGAAATTGGAAAAGTCAAAGTAATACCCAAAAAAATACACAAAAATATAAACCCACTAACCCAGAACAATATATTTAGATGACTATTACAAACCGATTGCAATTTAACAAGAACAATAGAACATCCATCATCATATTTTTTAAAAAGATAGAAATCAATAAAGACAGAATAAAATTAAGGAAACTAAAATGCGCATAAACCCCATTAATTTAAAAAGAAAATAAAGGTTAAGAATAACAAATGCCATAAGAAAAATGACGATTAAAAGGGAAATAAAGAGAAAGATAAACAAGTTTAGCAAAACTGCAAAATCACCTTGATTTGTAGCAGAAAATCCTGTAAATTGGAGAAATTTCTCTTTCAGGATGTGTTTAATCCTCCGTTTAATCGACAATTAAGAGGGTTTTGTGGGTGATTTATTGAGAGTTTAATGGCGGTGAATTGGGGTTATGAGTTATGACCTTGTGAGCTTGCGAGTGTCGACTCACTGAGTCGCGGCTTTTAGAGTCGCTGGTTTTTTTGGAGTTTTTGTGGAATTTGTTTTTGAAAATTTGGGCCTCTAATCAAGAATATGAATTTAGTAGTCCGACGAATTGGGATTTTTCTTAATAGGCCCAATTTGGAATTTTCAGACTCTTTTAGACCTTTCCATTTATAATAAGTGTTAAAGTGTGTAAGACTATATTCTTCATTTGGTAATGACAGAAGTAGCCCTTTGGGCTTATAAAGTGGACACAACTTTCTTGTTTCTTTGATGTGGGATACTTTCCAACACTTTCACTCACATGAAACACTTCCTCTCATATGTGAGTTGTCTATATACTAGCCCAAATCACAACACAACCCAACCTGAGCTCTGATACCATGATAAATGGGTCTGGGCCACACTCGTCACAAGTGTCCACTATACAAGTACAAGAAGGTTCCACCTCAAAACCATATGGCAATGAGGTGAATAGCCCTTTAGCCTTATTTAGTGGACACAACTTTCTTGTTTCTTCAATGTGGGATACACTTCCCAACACTTTCAATGTGAGACAACACTTTTACTCACATGTGGGTTTGCTCATGAGCTCAGCAGAATTTAAATCAAAATAGGTTGATTGTTAATTATTTTCTTAAAAAAAAAAATAAGTTTAATATATTGCGGTATCTGGTGGCAAGATGGGAAACGTGTGGTATTGAAAAATCAATTTGTGTAGATTTTATATATCCTCATTTCCAAAATTTGAGAAGCATAATTTAGATTAATTTTTATTTTATCTTTAAAGGTGATAGTAAAAATTAGAAATTAGCAATAATAAAACCCCGTAAAAGTGAAATACGAGAAAGTTCACAATCAAAAGTGGATTACTATAGAGTAACTATGATCGAACTAAACAAGAAATATGATGTATGATATTAGGATGAATCATGCTAATGTTAGCGTTCAAAACACATTTGCGTGTATCAGTGTTCATATAGAAATGCATATAGGTCAGTCTCTTAAGCATCATCAATAATTTGCACTTTGTAGGAGCATTTGATTGAATTAGTGAATTGACGTTTAGCAAAACTTTAAAAACATTTGAACTAATGTTGTTTACGATTCCGGAATATGCAATCAATATATGACACGAAATTTACATATTGCAAGTTACAAGGACAACTTTTTTATTTGACACAAAGTTACAAGGACAACTCGAGAATCTAACTATGGAGTAATTTTCATGGGCCATATTATACTTATGCTATTATACGTAATATTTCATACACAAAAATATCTTCACAACTCTTATACATGCAAATTTTTGTTTCTCATCTTCGTGCATGATTGGCAACTTGAAGTGAACTGAATTATATGGCCAAAACTACATTCTGATCAATTTATTAAAATGCAAATGTTAATAAATTAAGTTTAACAGAAACAAGTAAAGTTAACCAAAATACCAAAATCATGCAGTAGGTTTATTGTTTTGTCAACATTTGTTAGATACGATTTTAGGTTGCACTCGTCATAAACAGAGAGAAAGAATTCATTTTTTGGTGAAAAAAAAGAAGGTAAACTGCTACTGGCGTTGGCGGTCAAAGGGGGCGTTAGCGGTTTTATCCTTTTTATTCCAAATTACACAACTTTTTGCCCCTTGATAAACAATACTTGTTTTTAGGCTAATCAACTTGTATTTTCCCTTACCTCATAAAAAAAAAAAAAAAAAAAAAAAAAAAAAAGAGTATTTTCCCAATCCATAAGTTTTTCCAATTCTATAGAACAAGATATAATATCAAGCATAGTATCCTATTGGGCCCGATTAAGCCCATTAGGCCACTAATGTTATCCTTGTCATTATCAACGTGGCCCAATAGCCCGATATTGGGCAATTTGGGCCCACCTATTTAACCATTGCATGTTACGTAACTTCATCCACTCTTACTCAACTACTCAAGGACAAATAAACATTAGAGAACCCACATATCATAATCAAGTAAAATTAGTTATGTGACAAGATTAGCATATAATTAAACTCCTCCTTTATGTTTAAAAATGATGTCAGAATCATGGCTGTTGACACATCAAACATAAAAGTTGTAATCAATTCTTGCTTAGCTTATATTTGTAATCAAGAATTTTCAAATTTTCAAGCCACCATGTTAAATTGTTAATCACATTCATCAATATTATCATTTAGTTGACGTTTTAAATAATTCAGAATAATAAAGTAGAACATATTGTGAAAGAAAACTTCGAGTTATCAATATTATACTCCCTTTTTTTCTCTTAAATTGACATTATTTTTCTCATTAATTTTTTTTTTAAAGAATAAATAAATAAAAAGTATATAGTAAATAAATTGTAATTGGTGTGGAAATCTACATTCAATAAAAATGGTACTTCATGAGGAGTTTGGCATTACATAGATTTGATAGGAAAGTTATATAATCTCCTAAGATATAGAGTTTGCCTTAGGTAAGAATTGAAGGTCTTGATCTCTTGGATGCAAATTCTATGATTTCTGGATCAAATGTTGTCTATGTCACTTGTTTTTGCACTCTTTATCCAATACACGGTATATATGCCAAGGTATTAATTACGAGGGCCCTTGATCGGCTATTTGATTTCGGAGTGCATGAAGACTGAAATAACTTCAATATTACGAAGTAAGTGGGAATTCGAAAGTTTTGTTATACTCGTAATAAATTGTCAAAATAGACATTTGATAGGCTGTTAGACAAAGAAAGCTATACATTAGAATCATTTGAGGTGCTTTTTTTTGTTTTTGTTTTGTTTTTTTTTTTTTTTTTTTTTTTTTAACGTAGAATCATTCGAGCTTAGAGATACCGGAATATATGCAATCAGACAAGCTAGACCATCAAAAGATTCCAAAGAATAAGAAGGGCCCCCAATAGTGTCGTGTATAATGTAATTATAATTTCGTGTAAAATACGCTGGCGGTAGGCCTTTATTGTTTCTTTCAATTACGTATTCTTTGTTTTTTAAATGTTACACTCATGGGAGTCATGGAGTATTAGTAAATATTTTATTTTTAAGTTACACTTCAATTTTAACATATACATTAAGAAATTTACTTTATTGAAAATGTTATACATAGCTAGCACTTGTCAAATTTCAAACCGAAACGTTTTACTGCTCGAAATCAACCGGCCCAAATGAAAACCGAACCGATTAAAAATCGATTTTTTGAAATCGAAAACCGACCTGAACCACATTTTAGTAAACCCGAAATCGAAAAGATCCAAATAATGTTAAACCGTATAAGAATTAAACCTGTTAACGAATCGAATCGAAATATAACCGAACCGAAAAAGAACCGAACCGTTTCTAACTCGAAACTGTTTGAACCGGGATAAAAACCGTTAACAAACTGCAACCCGTTTGCACCGAACCGTGTACCAACAAAACTGTTTATAAACCGGACCACTTACAAACGAAACTGTTTATGAACCGAACCGCTTATAAATCGAACTGTTTACAAACCGCTTACTGTAAAGAGAAGATTAAAATCACGTTAAAAAGAATTTTAAATGAAATCTAATTATGCACACATGTTTACTACGGAGTACATAATTGTTTTCCCCGACTTGTTTTTTTTTTAATGTAATTATGGATTAAGCAAAAATAGTCTTCATCTTCTCATAAAACAACATCATCAAAGTGCTTCATAGTTTGCTCGGAATTATATTGGACCAAAGTTGGCCTAGTGAAATTCTTATGATGTATTATTGTAATTCTTGAAAGTTTTAGAATGAGATTCCATCCTTTGATCTTTCAAAAACAAATTAAAGTCAATATAAAAATTATAATAAAGAATATTATTAATCAATTTATCAATTGAAAAAGAAACTCGAAAAATTCTAGCTTGGAAAAGAAGATTTTTTTTTATTAAAGAAGACTTTTCTCAAAATTTGATCTGAATTGAGTCACATGGAAAAAGATCAATGCACAACTGCCCGAAACCAATCGACCTATATGAAAACCGAACCGATTAAAAGCCGATTTTTTGAAACCGAAAACTGACTCCAACCGTATTTTAGTAAACACGAAACCGAACCGATCCGAATAATGTTAAACCGTATATGTTTAGGGTAAAAATACCCTGTCCACGTGGCCCAATCGTGTGCTGACACGTGTCAGCATCAGAGGGGTTATGAGAGAACCAATCCTCTGGCGACACGTGACATTCTAACCTATGAAAGGGGAGTTGATCCTCTCTCACTATAAATAGAGGAAAATCCTCATTTATTGCACATTCATAAATACTCACAAAAAACCCGAGCAATATTAATTGCAGAATTCTCTCGGAATCCGAGAGAAAAACCTTTACATTCCGCACTTTTAAACATCCGGACATGTTCTAACTTAATCGTCGGAGGCGGAACTCCACCCAACCGGAGTTTCCGTGGTTTTGCAGGTACAGACGGTCGACGCGCATTCTTGGAATTGTAACTCTCTCGAGGGACTCCAAAAACCCCGAAACATTTGGCGCCGTCTGTGGGGAGAGTACTTCTAAGATGGAATCCAAAGAGTCTGTACCGCCTGCTGAAGGCAAACGACCTACGGTCGAAGCCCAGGTCCACACGGACCATTATAGTAGTGACGACCTTGAAGTCGACACCTATGTGGCCCCAGACGGGTCATTCTGAACAAGACGCACCCGTTCCAAGGAAACAATGGAACGGGGCGAAGACAAAGCTGGTCCAAGCAACCCAACCATCCAGCCGGCTGGGCGACCCCAGGCGGCGGAGGGTGTTGCTCCCGTTATAAGAGATGAACTCATGAAATTCATGACGAGTTTCAAAGGGGAAATCAAGGACCTTATAAACAAGTCAATTGGCACCAACATGGGTCAGTCGGCCAAGAAGCCTTCTCCCTCAGGGAAGAAGCATGTAAAGGATCGTGTGCCTACTCCTCACCCTAAACTAAAGGGGACGAATTGGCCCATGATCGACCTTTCAAAGCTCCATTTCCCTTAATCAGGGAAAAGGAAGGCCATCTGGAAAGTTCAGCCGAATGGATAAAAAAGGACTTACTCAGATGCTCGGATGTTAATCTAGCAGAAGAGAAGTCAGTAGTTGTCTGAGTCGGCCTCAACGTCGACTTACCCAGACAGTTTTCAGAATACTTCAATGAAGTATTCGGAAACAAACCGAGAGA